ATATATATATATATATATATATATATGCACATACTGTATGTGTATCTGTAAAGTAATATATCGGGAGGCTCTTTTCCTATTTTTTTTTTATGGTGGTTATTTGCTTCAGCAATGGTTATAAATACCTTCTGGCTACTGTTTTCTGTGAGGGAGCGATTGAAGAAACTAAGTATACCCCATGGAAATGGTTGCCTTTTAAATCCTATTTGAACAGACATACATTAGATCTTTATTTAAACCATGTCTTCAGAGAAATGTGATACAAACACAAGGAAAACTTACCTTTTCAATGATTTCACAAAAATAGCAATACATGTAATGGTGTGATTTAAAAAATATAAAAGCACCTCAGAAGCTGATGTTGCCCCCTTTAGCACACATGATGTCTTGTATGCATTTTGAATAACTGATCATCAGTCCCCGATCTTGAGACACGATTTAAAAAAGGAATGGTATGGTTATGACAGCCTATTCATTTGAATGTGTTGCAAAAAGGATTTAAAAATAGGGGCTTGGACTAAGCCAGTCAATACCTCCTTAACATTTGAAGAGACTAATTTACGTTCTTATCAAGAACACTTTGACTTAATGCACAGTTCATAGTTCACTCTATGAAACCTTCCCAGGCCCTAAAGCAGCAAAGCAACCCCATAATATTTCCACCACCATGCTTCAAAGTTAGTACAAGATGCTTCTAAAATGATGCCTTCAGTCTGCGCTAAAACATGTCTATTACTGTAATCAAAGCTCTATCCTTGTTTCATCAGTCCAGGGCACATGGTTCTAGAAGGCATAGTTTTTCGCCTATATGTTCAATGGCAAACTGTAATTTTGTTCTCATGTTTTTTTTGGACAACAAAGGCTTTTTCCTGCACAACTCCCATGAAGGTTTAAAGGCCAAGTTCACTTTTGGAACATATTACTATGTTCCATTCACCCACTGATAATGGGTGCAATGCTTTTCAGGCCCCCCGCAGAAAAAAAAAATAATAAAAGCACACTTTTTTTGCAAGAATATGTGAATTTTTAATTTTTTTCTTTAAAGGTGATATTGGTCTTTAAATTGGTGTAATCCCATTCTGATTATACAGTGGGTATAGAAAAGAATCACCCCATTTAAAATAATCACATTTTGTTGTTTTGCAGCCTGAAATGAAGACAGACACAGTTTTTGTTTTATCCAGCTGTATTTACTCCAATCCAAGTGAAAGATATAACACCAACACATCAGAAAAAAAAAAAAAAATCAAAAACAGAGTTACTGAGATGGAAAAAGGATGGCACTCCTCCTAAAATTGACTTAAACTCATTCAGGTGTAGCTAATCACCTCAATGGCACACAAAGCCATTTGACTTTCAACTGTCATCAGCTGGGTCATTTGATTAGATCAGCATGAAAAGAGCTTTCCTGGAGCAGTTCAGTCCCTGGTAGTGCAAATGAAGCAAACAATCAACTATGGGTGGCAAGGCACTGTCAAAAGATCTCCAGGATAAAGTTGTGGACAGGCACAAGTCATGAGATGGATACAAAAAAATTACAATGCGGCTTTATCAATGCCTAGAAGAACAGAGAAGTCTATTATTAAGAAGTGGAAGGTATTTGGTACAACACAGACCCTCCCTGGATCAGAACGTCACTCCAAACTGGAAGAAAGAGCCAGGAGGCAACTGGGCAGAGAGGCTATCAAGAATCCTATAGCAACTCTGAAGCAGTTGCAGGAATTTATGACAAAGAGTGGCCATTGTGTGCATGTGACAACAATATCACAAATTCTCCAAATGTGGTTTGTCTGAAAGGATTGCAAGAAAAGCGCCACTGCTCAAGAAAGGCCACAGGCAGTCATGACTGAGATTTGCCAAAACTCATCTTGAAGATTCTGAGGCCACATGGAAAAAGGTGTTATGGTCCGAAGAGACTAAAATTTAATTATTTGGCCTCAAAACTAAACAAAATATCCAGCGGAAATCCAATACAGCTCACCATCCAAATAACATCATTCCTACAGTAAAGCATAGAGGTGGTAATATCCTGGTATGGTGGGGGTGGGGGTGGGGGGGTTCTCTGCAGCAAGGACTGGAACATTTGTCAGGATAGAAAGAAAAATGGATGGGGCACAAAACCGTCAAATTCTTGAGGAAAATCTGCTGCCCTCTGCCAGAAAGTTGTCAATAGGAAGAAGGTTTACCTTCCAACATGACAATGATTCAAAGCACACAGCAAAAATGACCACACAGTGATTGATGGAGAAAAAGGTGAATGTCCTTGCATGGCCTAGTCAGAGACCAGACTTGAACCCCATTGAAAATCTGTGGAATGGCTTGAAGACTGAAGTCCACAAATAGTCACCATAAAATGTAACTGAACTTGCGCAGATGTGCAAAGTTAGTAGAGACAAATCCCAACAGACTAAAGGCTATAATTAAAGCAAAAAGGTGGTTCAACAAAATACTGACACAAGGGGGTAAATCTTTTCCAACTCACTGATTCCGGTTTTGATTTTTTTTATTGTCATGTTGGTGTTATATCTATCACTTGGATGTTATACTTGCTCTGAGTAAATACACCTGGATAAAACAAAAACTGTGTCTGTCTTCATTTCAGGCCGCAAAGCAACAAAATGTGATTTTAAAAGTGGGGCGATTCTTTTCTCCACCTACTATAAATGCTTGCACTTCAGTACCAGCTGCTGCAAGAGTTACCTACAGATTCCACAATAACATTTTAGAGTTCTTGGAGAAAACTAAGTAGTCAAGGCTTTGGCTGAATTTATAAGGGTGACCAGTAGTGGACTTGTTAGCAGCTGTTTGAAATCTACGCCACTTACAAATTGCTTTCTTTACAGTGGAATAACTAATTTCAAACAATTTAAATCCCTTGGCAAACATCTTGGAATCTACAGCTTTCTTTCTGATATTTTCATCTTAGCATGATGACACTTCACCCTTCTACAGCAGATCACTGGTACCATGCAGGGCTCCTGCAGACCTGTCAGTGTATCGGTGTGCCAGTACATTGGATGGGCATATAGATACACTTTGGCAGGAAGAATCGATAAACTACTACTCAGGTGGGCAGGTCTGACTCTGGAAAATGAACCCCTGCTCCTGAGATGCAACGGGTGTTTCTCCTATTTTGCTCTACACAAGTTGGGCCGTCAATCAAAGGATCTAAAAGGGGGGGGGGGGGGGGGGGACACATTTTCCAGGCTGGCGGGTCTTGGGCTGCAAATGTAGCTGTTCTCCCACTGCAACTGATAAAGGTAGACATAATAAACAGCCCCCCCACCACCCCAGTGAGAGAGAAGGCACACTCACAGCTCCAGACATCCTCAGGAACAAGAGTCCAACTCTGCATACAACATCAAGCAGCCTGCAGTCTCTCTCAGAGGCCACCTGCTCCCCATGCTGCATGTGTTCCTTCTTCCGTCCCTTCTTTCGGGGGGCAGCACAGCCCCCCTGAAAAATGCCGCACTAGGCAAATGCCTTGTGGTAAATACGCCCCTTGTTGGGGGGGGTGGGGGGGATTACCCTCTGTATTCTTCCTTGTGACTATTGTCATTGGACAGAAAGTGAAATGAAAATCTAAACAGGTGTCCCTGGAACAGGAAGAAAGTACTCCAATAGGGAGACCTGTTCTGTTGACAACTGTCTATAACATTTTGGGGGAGATTTATATTCACTTCCTATTTTGTCTGGGGAGGAGCAAATGAAAGCAAATCTTACTGATGGGACAGTCTAAATACTGGTCCAAAATCTGAAATCAATAAAGCATAGGTGATTCAAAGCCATGAGACAGAACTGAAAATAATTTTGTTCTTCTATTCAATTGGACTTAACTTCCGAAGTATGAATACATTTTGAGGGGTTTTCTTCTTTTCTAACCTTCAGATAGAGGCGACCGGTATGGTATGGACATGGCATACATTATATGTAAATAAATCTTTCTAGCTGAGATGGGCTCTTGCTGTAATGTGCAAATTTGCACACTGTGGAACACTTACTCCCAAAAACCCTCCTCCTCGTTGGTCTGTTGCTGCCACTTCCATCTTTTCCCAGTTCTGCAGCCATCTTGATTGGCTGGCCCAGGATGCTGTAACTTCCACACATTTTCATGGGATATACTTCCTCCCAGCATGCATGGCATGCTGAGATTGTACAGTGAGCTGCATATGCATGACTCATTGCACAACTAGAAGAAAATTGCTGGCGGGCAGAAAATTAGAATTTTATTACAGAAGAAACGAAGAGTATATTCTGAAAAAAAAAAAAATTTGTTCTGCTTTGAGGACGGGGCCACACTATGAATCGCACAGGAATGCGCCATGTGTTCCTGTGTGATTCACATGCAACCCGGGGTGCAGTGCGATTTCAGCCCATTCATTTAAATAGGCTGAAATCGCACAAGACCACACCAAAAGTAGTGCATGCACTACTTTATAAAAACACACAGAAACTGCATTGCATGGTACTAGTGTACCACGCTATCCAATGCAGGCAAATGCACTGCATTTGTGACTTTCATTTGGGTTGTCATTACGTTAAACTGACACCCGTTGCAGATCGCAAGCGCAGTGTGTTTTGAACGTGGTGCAGGAAACGCGATTGGAATACAGATTTCTCGCACCACTTTCTGGCGTGAATTGGCCCCAATACTTTGTTTCACAGACTAGCCTGTTCAGAGGAAGTCTATAACAAAATATTGTATATTTCCACATTACATGGTTAGGTTGAAAAGAAAAAGACACGTCTATGGAGTTCAACCAAAAGACGAAAATAACTCTCTGAACCATAAACCAGTTGATCAAGAGGCAAAAAAAACTCATATATCATGGACTGGTTTATGCTGACAGGATATAAAACTCCTTCCTGATCCCCTAAGGCAATGGAATATTTTCTAGAATAAATTTGAAGTGGTTGTAAAGGCTCAAGGTTATTTACCTTCATGCCTTCTACCCTGCAACAACCCTGTTCCGTAGAAAAAATATATTGCTTGCACTCACCTTTGCAATTCAACAATTTCATTATTTAAGGAGTCCAGCTCTTTGATTGCGGAGAAATCTGCAACAGGACTAGGAGCTGATGGGACCTATAGGAAAAGAGTACTGGATTACAAAAGGAAAACTACAATCTTCTAAACCTTTTTACTTATTTTTCACCAAACCATACAAATAAGATCACGTTAATGTCTATGTGTTAATGCTTAAACTTACTTGCATGCATAGTTTATATAAGTACATGTACTCATTACATACATAGGTTTTACTGCCTAGTGGCGTCCTGCAAATCTTCTAATCTTGCTGCCAGTCCACCAGACAAGGTCTTCATGACTGAAGACAACATACACTAGGCACAGGAAAATTGGGAACCATGTGACCTTTGTCCAGGCTTTAACCTCCCTAGCGGTCTGATTATGTCCATATTTCTGTGCTCAAAGCGGTACATTTTTTTGCATGGAAATATGTTGTTTTTTTATTGTAGGCCTGTAATTTTTAGGAATAATTTACTGAAATCTGTCCGAACAAGAGTCTAGTAAACATCCCGGGTATGATAAAATTTGAAACACGGAATCATAAATTATAATGAATCATAAAAAATAATAATATAATAATAAATTTAATTCAATATAATCAAAGCAAAAACACTGAAATTTGAAATATAGCGCCAAGTTCGCACATCACTGAGCAAAGTCGCAAAATCGTTTTCAGTGTCTGATGAGGAATTTCCCCACGAATCATTATCAATCAATTCTGCAAGTGGTTCTGATTTACTATCGCTGTTCTCTAGCCGGTCTAAAACCGCTTTTGACCTAAAGGGACGCTTTTTGGACGCCATTGACTTTTCTCAGTTTCAAGGCAGAAAGAACAGTAAAAATGCAGGCAGGGCACAGGACAAAGCACTCGGGACAAAATGTATGTGAAATGGTTTGATACAGTAATGTTATACTATCAGATTTTAGTGTATTTAGTGAATGTCACTTTTTAAAATTTTTTTAATTTCCCGCTGGTACCGGCCCCAGTACGCCCCAAAGCTCCCAGGGACCGGAACCCGGAGATGGATGCCGGTATTTGCCGGAGGACATTACAGGGGACACTGCAGAAGGGACATCGCGGGAGCGCATGACAAGGTAAGTGAAACAGGGATCCCGGAGCAACGCTGCAGGGTAATCCCGAGTGTAGCTCAGGGTTACCGCTTTTGGTACTGAAAGTTAAATCCGAGCTACACTCGGGAATACCGCCAGGGGGGGTTAAGACACATAAGGAAGTTTAAAGCTGTTTTTATTACTGCCAAAAATTTTTTATCAAAATAATGATGTCACTTGGTAATGTTGACAATGACCCTGTTGTCTTTAGGCAAAGCGAAGCTTTTTATGGTTAGGTCTAATTAAACTTTGCAAAGGTCCAGTACAGAGACACTATGGTTCTCTGGATTTAACCAACATGATTTTTCTATGTGGATGTGAGATAAAAAGAAAAATAACAGTTGGAAAATGTCTGCATTTGATACCAGATTTAATTAGCACCACATGCAGATGAACAGTTTATTATAAAAGCTGTTTGCTTCCACTCATTACTGAGATCGCATAAAGCAAAACAGATACAGCATGGATTCAGCAATTAATTGGTGACAAACTCTACAGCTGCTCAAAGTCAACTCGAATACGTCTGCTACAGAGCTGCAAAAGTGTCTGGCTAGACTAAGGGCTCGTTCACACTTGACTTATTTCTAACTCTTGCCAAACGCCCCTATAGCGTTTGACAGGCATTTGGAGTTTGCATGTTCTCCCTGTGACTGCGTGGGTTTCCTCCAGGTACTCCGGTTTCCTCCCACATTCCAAAGACATGCTGGTAGATTAATTGGCTCCTGTCTAACTTAACCCTAGTATGTGTATGTATGAATGTGAGTTAGGGACCTTAGATTGTACACCCCTTGAGGGTTAGGGACTGATGTGAATGTACAATTTATGTATGTAAAGCGCTGCGTAAATTGACGGCGCTATATTAGTACCTGAAATAAATTTGGGAGGCGTTTTTAACGTTCCTCAAACGCTTCCCCAAACGCCCTATGCGTGTTTTTGAGGCATTTGAGAGGCATTTGCCAAGCGTTAAAACCGCACCACAAACGCCTATAATGAAGTTAAATGGTATTAACGCTAAAAAGTCTCGCAACCACCCCACAAATGCCTGCCAGGCGTTTGAGCAGCATCACCATAGACTTGAATGGGAGCTTCAACTCCTCCTGACTTGACAAGAGGTGTCTGTTTTGCTGTGACGCGACACTTCAGTGTGAACAGCACTGTGTGCTGCCATGTGCAGAATTTTCATAGGCGTTTGAGAAGCGTTAAAAACACTTCCCAAACGCCTGTCTGACGCCTGCTGACAAAGCTAGTGTGAATGTAGCCTAAGAGCAAAAACAAAAACCAATGTATTAAAGAACTGTACTAAGTGCTAAAATATTCTCTTCATAGTGAAAAAATTGTAAAGGACCTTCAGTGCCTCTTGCTGCTAAGTACATGTGCCCAAATGTGAAACTTTACTACCAATTATGACATCTCATCCTTTGTGTGCCATAGCTGAGGATTTCACAACTTCCACAATGCTATCAGAGTTTCTGCGGCAGGAACTGAGCTGTTAATCAGTGTAACATACTGTAGAATGGGGTGAAATGAACAACTAGTTTGTGACGGAAGCAGACACTGTATTGAAAATTGCGGCTTCCCCTTTATAAAGGGGGGAGGGGGAGGGGGTATTGGTAAAATGTTACTAAACTCACAACAGTACAATCAGTCTGTATATGTAGTAAAGCATGCTTGTTATGCTCACTGTGGAACCTAAGAGGTTAATCCTGCACATTGTGTAAAAAGGATGTTTGATCCTGTCTTCTCTGATCTTTCCCTTCTTCCAGTGTCTCCAAAATATCTCCTGATAGAACAGAGGCTAGGGACAAGCTGCACATGCTCAGTTTGGTGTGTATTGCTAGAGAGAGTGCATGTGATCAGCACAAGGCCAATCAGCACTCTGCAGACAGAGGTCAGAGGTCCTGCATCCTGCTACAGGAGAATGAAAACTCCTCCTACAAGCTTTAACCAGTGCTCTGCTGGACACTGATAGACGTCACTAGACTGCTGTAACTGCTGATGAGAAAAGGTATTTAGCTGTTTATATTTACTAAAATAGTTGCATTTCCATGTTGTATGTACTGCGGGAGACCAGATACAGTGAATGCAGGGTCCGGGGAGACCAGATACAGTGAATGCAGGGTCCAGGGAGACCAGATACAGTGAATGCAGGGTCCTGGGTTTAGTAACACTTTAATTAGTTGAAGGGAGGGTTGTATATACTTATTTAAGCAAGAGCTACGTTTTAAAGCAATATTCTGCTTTTTCATTAAAGTGGTTGTAAACCATGAAACATGAATAAAAAACATTCGCCTATAGTGTGTACTTGCCTCAATAAACGGCATGAAGTGTCATTTCTTCTGCTGCTTTGTTCCTCTGCTATCAGCATGAATCACTTCTAACAAGTTGTCTTGACACCAAGAGAAAAATGGTGACATGGGAAGGACCTCCAGGAGATTGACAGCCTTAGCTCTGTTCCTGTGTGGAGAGGTGGGTGGGGTATCTTTTCCCTCCAATCAGCTCTCAGAGCTCTCCTCACTGAGCTCTGCAGCATAGAATCTCAGCTTTCTACCTACTTTTTATAAACTCAGACAAGCTTTAAAAATTCTGGACTTTGAATAGATGCAGAGCACAGACTGCTGCAGATAAACAGGTACAACTTATGTAGGAGGATTTATTTAATCTCTGTGTATCACCTGAGGCCAGTCACCTCGCTGGGTATATGTGAGGGTTTACAGCCACTTTAAAATTAAGCTCTCCTTACTGAGCAAATAAAACGTGTGTGCTTAACTATCTGCAACAGCAAATAGCAGAGAAATGACCATCACACAATCTGATCAATTCAATGAAAGAATATCAGAAAAAAAAAATGTTGCAAGAAACCAGAGGTGAAAAACTCCTGCAGTAGCCTCCAAAACCTCCCTCTCATGGCCCTATGCCAGGGTTGTTTGACAGGTTTAGCTCTGACACTTCCGAGTAGTGTCAGAATCTGCTGCTAAGTCACACCCCCAACCATTCCTTTTGGTTCCTCATTGCGATGGGAAGCCTCACTGACCAATAGATATGTGCTGGATGCAAGAAGAGGTGACCAAGTATTGTCCCTGACATGAAGTCCTGAAGCTTTGCCTGTCAGAATTGTCTGCGATTCAGCAGGGTATGGGAGGCTACTGCAGGTATGCAGAGCCTCTTTAGGAATTGAATTTTTTACCTGCTGCAGTTGTGCCTGGCTTCAGTATATTCTGCGTATCTGACCTAGAATAATCTTGCAGTCAGTGAACAAAGGTGAGCAGGCCGGCATAAAAGATGAATAGCTTTTTCCAGAGAGAGAGAACGTCAACGGTAGCCCATATATTTCTTTCATGATAAAATACTTTTATGGCTGACATACATTACTTCGCATGATATAATATCAATACACAGTGAACCAAAAAATGTATAGGAACCTGGCACTGCTACAGACTATGTAGGATGGAATCTTTCATCCTTTCTTCCATTAATCTCTCCTGATATAACCCAGCTCTCCTCATTACTGCCAATTCAACTGTAACAATAAAAGAACAGTGTGGGTGTATCTTGGGCGAGTAGTTGTTTTTTCTGGGGGTCTTAAAGCTGAACTCCAGGAATTAGATTTATTGTGTACTTATAAATTGTCCAGCTTGGCTCGATGCAAGTATGCATACCTGATATCCAGAGAGTCTCTGGGGATGCTGTAAATCACTACCTACAGTCAGAGCTACAATCTTCCGGGTTCACTGCAAGTGGCTTCGTTCGCCACCTCCACCATTCATAAAACTTCTTATATTTTTTTTTTTTCCATGAATACAAGATGTTCTCTGGTTGGATGATGTGGAAAGGAGAGACAGTAAAACCACAAAGTGACATCACTTCCGGCGGAAGGGCCATCTTGATACACCCATAGGAGGTACACCCAGGAGTTCCTATGAGGATCTGTGAGCATTTTTTTCTCATAA